CACGCATCTTCGCACGGGCAGCCCGTGCGTTGGCTTCTTATTTTTAGAAGTGGAAATATCTGTTTAATGTGCTTCTCAAATTCAAAATTAGATATGCCACTAAAAACACTTTAGCTTCTGACATATCATAAGGCTCAATCAAACAGACGTTTGCGGCTGCGTGGGAATGTATTGGTATTCAAGGTGCTCTCAACACTGCTCTGAACGTATAGTTATCAAAACAACTGAATGGCTTCTCTTATTATTCCTAGTGCTAACGACAAATAGCTTCTTTTTAGAAACTCAGAACCTTACTATACTAGTCATGATGTTAGTAATAAGTGATTTGTAAAGCACTTCAGCAACCGATAAGGCGGAGCGAGGGGAAGAGCTGTTAAAAGACCTTGAACAGACTAGATGAAGCGAAGCAGTAATGGGAAATGACCTACACAGACTTGCCGCTGCTGATAGCGCTCTCGACAAATTTAACAGCTTTCTCAATGGACGGCCTTGCGGCTGTTCCCACGAAATCGGTCATTGGTAAAGCAAAAAATTCTACTCCGTGTTTCTTCCATTCATTTTCGTCCACTGCCTTCCACGCTATCTGAGTTTCATAACCTAAAACAATGATAAAATTTTCAGTGCATTGAATAATTTGAATTTCTAGTGGATATTTAATCGCATTAAGTGCTGATAACGTTTGAGACGAATGGTAATGCTCAATGCACACCAAAGACAACCCGAAACGGAGAAAACCGTATCGAGTGATCCCGCCAGGAGGATCGCTGGCCTCCAACTGCTTCAAAGAAAACAAACGTCAAAATCGCCGACGAACACACAACAGGTGATGCAGCATTCGTCAAAGCAACTGGAAAAGTCGCTAACCCTATCCTGTACCGTCTCTTGTTGTCTGCGTTCACAGCTTAGGGATGAAGCACAGGCAAGGCCGTCAAACTGTAATAAATACAAGCGTGCTGAAATGTGATGCCGAAATAACACACCGAGTTATTTCAGCCAAAATTCGACCGATGGACATCCTTCCTCGTCCACGTATTACGCTTGACGATTTCGATGGAGGGACCGACGATCTCACATCCTCTCATGTTTGCACTTATTTACTTTTGCTGCGCTCATCCCTAACATTACTAGCTATAGCTCACAAATATAAATTAAAATTGCACACGCACAAATACTGAAGAAACCCAATCCCCGGTCTGATGAATCCTTTGTATCAATGAATTATTACGGCTGCTTCAGATGTTCCACCAGGCAGTATTCCTGGGTGATTAAAAATCTGCTT